GAGTGTCTGATACTTGTCTACCTTCTCTACTGCCTCAATCGATATATGCACACACATACCCTTTACACACTTACTGGCATTGTTCTTTCAAAAGGTGCAGTCACTCTTTAGAGAAACCAATCCCATGAACATAAACCGAATATAGAACACCAAAGAACTGTCTAGTGGTCTGTGCCAGAGAAGATTCTGCCCTTAAAATTCTGTTCAGGGATTAATTATTCCAGCAGTGGGGTTTTATTTTACCAATATTTTAGCAGTGTCTGCTGGTGCAGCTACAGTCATGGCTTTGTCAGAATCGTCAGTATAAGGATTGTATAGTCTGGATGTAAAAGGAATATAATAAAAATCAATGACCAGAGCAAGTCTGTCAGAGCAGAAGACATTTTGAACGAGATCCTCAGCAGGGGTAAATCAGGATAGCGCCACTGAAGTCAGTTGAGATCCTCAGGTTTACACCAGTTGAGGATGTGGCCCTTTTAAAATAAAAAGTTAGGCTCTTAAGTCATGGGAGTACACCAGACATGGACATATGCTCTTGTACCCCTATAGCAAAAGCAATCTGTTCTGCAGGCACATTATCAAATGAAGGATTAATCCTTCTTATCGTTTAATACAAAAAGATAAGCAATTAGAACAGCCCAGCTACCTCCATGCAAACGTTTCCCCTTCTGCAGGTGTTATGCACAGAGTGTTAGTTTTAGCTTTTCCTCCCGTTTTTGACCCAAACCTTACCATTTCTTTAACAGTAACACATGCATGTGTGCACACGCACACTTTCTCACTAATGGTGTTAAACTGCAACTAAAATATTTTTATTTTATTGACATAATTTAATCTGGAGTCTCACTAGGCTCTACACGCTTGCTCATTCAATGCCATCTTGCCCGTTGCCTTGCTCACAGCCATGCTGTTACACCATTTAAATAACATCAGACATCTCTTTGCAAGAAGCTTTAATGCTTCCCTGCTTTATACACCTCAGTGAGAAATGAAAGGATGGATGGATTATTCCTCCTTCCGTCAGAGCGACTGCTATCCTGACATAATACAAAGAGTGGGGGAGAGGGAGACAACACCTCACTAAATTATTTCAGTCTACTTATACCTGTACTAGCCCCCTCCCCTTGCATTTCTGTCCTTAATACTGCATGAAAGGAAAAGGATTAGACAGTGTGAAGTTAATTTCACCCTCACAAAGCGGTGCCCGCTAGAATCTCAGAAACACACTCCAGTTGTTGTTTGTTACTTCTGCCCCAGCAGCCAAAGTATTTGGATAATGCTTTGGTTTTTGGAATCACAGCAGATCATTTTAACAGGGTCCTTTATAACTCTGCAGTTAGACATGTAGTGACAAAGGGCCTGTCTGGATAGTTCAGCCCTGAGAAAGCTGCATGCAGACCCTCTGGGACAGTCTCCTCGCCCTCTAAAATAGTGACAGCATCGATAGCCTCAAAATAGGTCTCCTCCAAGCCCGAGGGAAGAAATACAGTCTGACTGGATGCCCCAAAGCTGCCATCTTTCCTCTGAATGTAGTCAGCCTTGAAACGAAGTAGTTGTGGATGGTTCCACTATTACCTGAAACTGCTGTGGATGTAGCGTATGTGCCTTCTGCCACTGGTGCCTTCTCTGCACGTCCTGCAGAAGATCCCGGCCTGCTGAGAGGTCCCTCTTCAGTGTGCCTGGGAAGGGCGGACTCTCTGTGGGAATTGCCTGTTTGTACTTTAGTAAATTATTAACAACAGTGGCAGTGTTTTGTGTCTCCCCAGCAGACTTTCTGGAAGGGTGGTGAGGCTTATCTGTGGCTTGTCTGATTGTACAGTTCAGAGCCGTGGTTTGCCCATGACTCAGCACTCCCAAGCCTTATTTGTGTCTGTGTGTGTTTCAATTGGAGTAGTCCTGCTGGAAAGGTAGTGGAGGGAAATGGTAGGTATCATGTATCCAGCCCTTGATTGCAGTGTGACTTGTGATTAAAAGCTGTGGCCCCTGATCAATGCTGTTACTCCTTGATCTATTTGATCAAGCACCAGCCAGTGAGAGAGCCTGAGGGGGGTGTATGTTGGCAATATGAACCTTTTCCCCAAAGGAGTAAAACATTCATCACTTTGGTGGAGACCTAGAGTTGCTGCCTTTAAAAGTTTGTCCTGGCCATGGGCCAAATTGATTGGATCAGGTTCAGACATGGTGTGAAGTCGAGTTGCATATGCATGCACCAGGTCTGAATTTGGCCATGTTTGTCATCCCATCATGATGCAATGTCCTGACTCGATGCTACTCCAAAGGATATTTTTGAACATTTCAATGTCGTGCAAGTCTTACCTGTATGATGTGAGACTGTCCTAGGAAACAATGCGACAGGTAGCAACCCTTCCTCTCTATAATTCATCCCACTGATCTTTTGCTTTATGGTCTCCACACGACACTGATTGAATCAAACATCTTTTTTTTTCCTCCTTTCCCTGCCTGCATCTTGCTGCAGGCCTCCATTCCAACAAAAAACCTTACTGATACTTGAGAGGACCTGCTAGTTCTTGTAGCTGCTGGGTCAGGTGGTAGCTCACAACCTCACTCTTGGTGGAGGGGATTCGGCTCTAATCTCTGATTTATGTACAGAAGTCAGTATCCCAAGCTCAGTTTAGAAACACTGGGCATGTCTACAATGCACAGCTACAGCACTGTGCCACTGTAGCGCCATAGTATGGGGATGCTTCCTACGTGAACAGAAGGTGTGTTTCCCCTTCACAGCCCTGCATGACCTAGTCAATCTAATCTTTAAGGGTAGACCAGGCCTTACTCCTCTCTTTTCAGAAGTGTGTTAAACAAGGCCACACTTCCAATCAGTATCTTCATCAATTTGTAACCGTACAGGCAGAGTAGTCCCTTACAGAGCAATTGCACTGTGGGATAGCTATAATCAAATAGACTCTTTGTTGCTTTCTTAAAGTGGAACAGGAAGATTACACAAGTAGAGGGCTCCAGGGGCATGGGGGAGAAGGGGAGGTGAACTTGTTGCTCACCGTCAGATCCTACAGTCTGATCAAAAGTAGCATTAACTGAGGTCAGTTTAGCACTCTAAAGCGGGAGGGTTAATCTGGTGAGTAGAAGCTTTTATGTAAGATCTATGTGACCACACTCCACTTTACCAAAATGAAAATTGCGTAACAAGAAAACTATGACAGCTGCGTCATGGAAGACTAAGGCAATCGTCGCGTGCATCTTGCACTTCCTGCGTCCATGCTAACTCCAGCTGTTGCACGTTTACAAAAGCTTCTGCATTTGAAGAGAGTTATTCTCTGCCTGTGCTTGCTGGGCTTAAAAAAATTCCCCTCCTCCTATCTGAGCAAGGAGGCGCCCCAGATCCAACACCGCGCAGGGTAAATCTGCCTGTGGCTCCCATCCACTTTATCTGTAGATTATTTTAAGCCAAGAGACTAGAAATATGTGTGTGTGGTGTGCAGGTGGAACTGGTCCAGTGTTTATTAGCCAATCATAAACTGTAGAAATTCAGTGAGTTGAACTAGTATTTGTGGCATCGCCTGAAATTCTTTGTGCACTGGGACTTAGACCCCATCTCGCCATGTACTTAAGCATCTGCTGAATTCCAAGCATGTGAGTAATCCCACTAACTTTGAGGGGACTGCTCACATGCTTGAAAGAGCAAGTAGCACCTCAGCGCTTTGCAGAACTGAGCCCATAGTAGCTGTCTTCTCGCGAGGGTGGGGTGTCCATACCACCTGCTGGTAGGACACCATTCCCCTGGTCTGAAATATGATCTTGGTTTCAGGCTGTCTTCAGCGAGTGTTTAAATTCCCTGTTGCTCTTTCTATCCCTCCCTTTTTTTTTATTCCCGGTTGATGCTAATTTGGGAACATATTGTGGTGGAGATAAGGCAGGGGCCTTCCTCTTGCTGCTCTTGGTCAGTATTTTAAGCCTTGTTGCTATGCCTGTGTAGATAAGGGCTGGTAAATATGGGCTTGCTTATAGCAGTCCCCAAGTACCCACTGTTACTCCAGGTGAGTTTTTCCTCACTGCAGTGTCCTCCTTGTGACCGCCACCATGACTGCATTAGCACAGGCAGCTCCATGATGGTGAAACGCTTCATGCTAGGATCCTATTCATTTCCATAACAGCCACTGCCTGGCTGGGGGTAGGAAAGAAGTAAGTGCGGTTTCATTGGTCACAGTTATGTAGGTCTAGGTTTCTAGTTAATTGAGAAACAAAAAGCTCATCCTTATAAGTGAGGATGTATCAAGTTTCCCGTTGGGCAGTCAATTAACATCTCTGTGCCTCAGGGATAACCACAGATGTACCTAGTGTGAGGGTTACTTCCCTGATGTCTGGAATGTTGTTGTAGCCATGTTGGTCCCAGGATATGAGAGAGACAAGGTGGGTGAGGTAATATCTTCTATTGGATAAAAATACCTTGTTACCTGTGGGCGAATACTTTTCGCAGAGTGTTCACTCCATATCTGACTTATCAGCCCTGGTCCTCCAAGGAAACCTTCACAACACCTTCAGTGTTAACCCCTTATGGCTTAACAATCTGTCCCACCTTGTATTTAGTTGTAACATTCTGGTTACCTTTTCCAGACCTGAAGAAGAGCTCTGTGAATCTCAGAAGCTTGTCTCTTTCACCAACAAAAGTTGGTCCAGTAAAAAATATTGCCTCACCCGCTTTGTCTCTCTAATGTCTGTAAAACACTTGGAGATCTTCTGTGGGAGGGTGCACCAGATCTATGAAAGTTTATTATATTAAACTGATACTACACTAGGGCTTAGTTGTCCCAATTCCTTTGTTAGGAGATGCAAAGTTTTGCTTCTACCATGTGCATTGTGGCAGCCCAATGGAAAGGCTGGGCACTTCCATCTAACTATAACTTTTATTCTTTGTGTGTGGCTAGCTTATAGCAGTGGAGCGTTATTATTATTTAACTTTTAATGGCCCCCGTCAAGTTAGGTCCAACATTTTTAATTCTCTTAAAAAAAACAAACCATCCCCATTATCTATTACAATGCATTTTATTTTTGCACAATTGAAATGCTGCGGTATTGTTTTTTCTTAATCTAAACATTCCTCTGCATTGTTGGCAGCTTCCAGAATTGTTCCAAAGTATGAGAATGAACTCAGATGCAAAATGGACAAATCTAATTGAGTGAAGAACAAAAAGCTAAACAACACAAGTGGTGAAAAGTAAACTAGTTGATTTTGTGTGTGTGTATTTGTGTGTGTGTGTGTGTACACATACACACACACAGAGGATATTGTTAATAATCTAGGGTGCTCTTAGTAATTTAGGTAAGGGATTCTTTTAAATATTTTCCCTCTTTTCATTGCCCCTTTTTACAGAAGTGTCAGCAAGTGTTAAAAAAGCATCATATTCAAAGCTTTGTAACTCAGCCCACCTTAGCTGAACTCTGGCACTGTAGATATGTATGTAGTCCATTTGGCTGTTTCAATCATAGTAGTCAAAATGCAAAATGCGAGTAGAAGATTTGTTTACACTCTCTTAACTCCGAATGGGCTTGTTTTAATTTCTCTTAAAGGTGATCAGTTCATATTGTGGCATAATTGCTTTCAGTTTTAAAAATTAAACCTCTTTTAACTAACGGATTACTGAGAAAGGGGAGTAGTTTTTCTTCTCCTTTCCTACCCTTAATTACAAATTTCGGGCCCAATGCTGCAGACTTTATACACATGTAACTTCCTTTTGAAGTTCCCTGGACTATAAACCAAATTTACACAGTGGCTGCAGTGTTGAAAAGGTATTTATTTGCACTTTAGCGGTACAGTTTGCTTGGCTCCAGTTTGCTCCACCACTTGTCATGATGCCATCTCTCAGCTGCTGCACGTATATCCTGAATTAACACTGCCCTCACTGTATATTCTTTCTCTGAAATACATGTGTGAATAAATATACCTTAAACATGTGCTGCCGTTAATATAAACTACACACCGGCCATCTTTAGTGCAGGGAGCGAGGCATGCTACTCCCATGAATAATAATGGGGATTTGTACATCTGCTTCAGTGCCCCATGCACTGTACTGAACACTCACCCTGCAATATGCAGAAAAAACAACACTTTTTCATGGAAGAGAAGGATCTAAATAAAAACTTTTTTTAAAAAATGATTACTGGCAGGGCAAGCAAACAAAACAATTTGGGTTAGGGTTTTCCCCTCTTGCCTTCATCCTTCAGTGTATGAGGGATATTGCACATAGTCTAATTGTTTTCCTCTTTGGCAGTTTTCTTGTCTTTGTAACACTGAGAAAATAAAAGCAGGGAGCATTTGATGCCAACTGTACTTCCAGTCTCTGAGCTCATGTGCCAGCTGAAAGTTCATGTCATGCTGTGCTCTGAGTGGATGGCTCTGTTAAATTTCACGTACTCTATTACTCATGGTTTTAAAGAAAGTAGAACAGGGAAGGAAAAGCCATACTTGCTTTGGGCTTGATCCTGACGGGTGCTGGTAATGGATATCTCCAGTGATGACAGTAGGAATTGCTAGTGCCCAGCACCACGTCACTGGATTAGGTCATTTATCAAGAGAGCAGGGGACCTTCCTAACCCCAGGGCAGTCTGCATGTGCTCTTTGTGGTTTGCTGCTCTTTGCTCACAAAGAATGAGCCTGTTGGAATTTTCTGCCAGCCCAGCTGCAATGTTCGCTTTGGGAAAAGTCTGTTTTTGTTTCTTTCTATGGCAAGGAGACAAGGATGTCAGAATACTGTTACCTATGTGGCCACATCACAGACCCAGGCAGTGATCATTGCAGAACAACCTAGTCCATCTTATGATCCACTTTCCTCCTCTGCATAGGGTTAGCAGATAGCAACTGTGAAAAATCGGGGTTGGGGGTAATAGGCGCCTATATAAGAAAAAGTCCCCAAAAAATTGGACTGTCCCTTTAAAAACAGGACATCTGGTCACCCTATGGGCTCCCCGTCAACGGTGAGCGCGTTCGGGGATCGATATATCGCGTCTTAACGCAACGCGATATATCGATCCCAGATAAATCGATTGCTACCCGCCGATACGGCGGATAGTGAAGACATACCCTACCTCTGCAGCGTATTCTCATTCACTCCCACCAGCCCGTTCAGAGGGTTAGTGTAGAGAGGGTCATTCCCAGGCCATTCAGCCACAGTGGCTCCTATGTCCTCTTTCACTGTCTTCTCCTGATGCATTTCACACATGAGCAGTTGGCTGGATCTGGATCTTCCTGCCTCTCTGATCAGGGCTTCCATTGCAGCAGCAGCGATAGCAGCAACAGCTGCAGGCTAGGGTCATCAGTGACAGCACAGTAACTGAAGAGAGAAATGAAGAGTATTGGCTTCTGACAAGATCTTACAAGAATAAAAACAGACCAACTTTGCAGTGCCTTGAAGAGGCAGAATTTCCTGGAAGCTCTGCTGTAAATGTTGGATTTATTTCTGGGCAGGTGTTTTTTTTGCCATAACGTACTATCTCCAACAATGTTGGCTTATCAGTATGTGAGCAAATAACCTTAAAGCTATAGAATAACATTTATAATTACATTATACAGCACATTGAATTCCAAGGGATCTTAAAATACTTTCCAGACTGTGGGTCCCGTGATGCAGTAATTGCACATGAAAAATTCCCATTGCCATTCCTGGAAGTTATATGCTCATGAGGCCTGGGGCATCAGGCCTAATGGGAATCCCTCCACCCCTCTTAGGACAGCCTCCTCTGGAGTGAAATGCATCAGCTGTGTGGCTTTAAAGGGTAGAAAGTGAAGAACAGTGTCCATTCAGATGAAATTACAGGTATGCAGGGAACAGTTACCAGAGCTGGGATTTGTCTGTGAAGTCAGTGTTCTCATCCCATCTCTTAAGAAAAGTGACTTTAATGCCAACAAAAAGAACAAGAGTACTTGTGGCACCTTAGAGACTAACAAATTTATTTGAGCATAAGCTTGTGTGGGCTACAGCCCACTTCATCAGAATGGAACATGATAACAGGTATTCAGAACTTTGGGGGGTTTTTTCTTCCAAACTGGTAAACTAGTAGGCGCTTATATTTTTGTTCATCACAGAATTTAAGGCTAGAAGGGACTCTCAGATCATCTAGTCTGATCCCCTGTATTTCATGGGCCACCATCACCACCCAGCCACTATCTGTCCAAACTATATATAGTGTCAACCATAGGGTTCCCTTTAAAAACAAAGAGCTGAACTGCCAGGATCCTGTTAGGGATGATGGTCAAAATGGGGATGGGATTAATACCTTTCTCTGGAAGAGATAAGGGTGATGCGGTAAGTGTTACATAACACCCATTGTGTTTGTTCCTTTAAGTGTAATCCATTGACAGGCTGCCAGGTAACCAGACCCAGTGGGGAAACCAGTTGTGTCTATGGCCTTTGCTACACTCGCGGATCCACAGCGCGCTGTGAAGCGCGAGTGTAGTCGTGCCGCCAGCGCTGCGAGAGCTCTCTCGCAGCGCTGCAAGTACTCCACCTCTCCGAGGGGAATAGCTTGCAGCGCTGTGAGCGAGTGTGCAGCGCCGCAGGCGCTGATTACACTGGCGCTTTACAGCGCTGCATTCGCTGCGCTCGGGGGGGTGTTTTTTCACACCCCTGAGCGCAGCAAGTGCAGCGCTGTGAATTGCCAGTGTAGCCAAGGCCTATGAGAAGCAGATATACCTGCTTCCAAATTCCAGCTGAGGGAGGGATCCCTTTGTGGTGGACACCGCCCTTCCCCCTGGCATTCAAACTGCGAGCAAACTCCCCCCTTTCCCTTTCACTCAAGGGTTCCTGCCTTTCCTCTTCCTACTTTTCCACTGTTTAAAAAACTTTCTCCATCTGACCAGACAGCTGTTTATTCCCCCTTCTCCAACACCAGTTACTCCATGACAGGGTGACTCCATGAACTAACCTCTTCAAGGGGGAGGCACTCTTTCTGTTCACACCAGGAAAAGAAATGTGTCCACTAAAGTGTGCCAGTTTCTAGGAAGCAGCAGTAATGGGGGCAATCCCAGACTTGAGTGTCTTGTCTGGTGGCAAGATACACTAATACCATTCTTCACAAACGCTCTCCTTCTACTCCTCAAAACATTTACACATGATGTGACTCTGGGATTTACTCACAGCGAGAGCAAGCGTGCTTCCCTCCAGATCAATGTTCAGGGGCGATGGTATGGGGGAAGCTTGCACTGCTACTCCCCATGCTATATGTTCTGTACATAAACAGGAATGAATTCTTCAAGGCCATCGGTCTGGTCCTATCCTGAGTGCTAAAATTCACTTCCATCAGAATGGATTTGTGGGAGAAAATAAGCTAGAGAATCACATTCTTTAGAACAGCTGCAGAACACACCTGCTTTCAGCAAAATCCTCAGCACAGCCTGCCAGCCTACGAGATCTGAGAGGTTCAGGCAACAACGAGCACATAGGATCCTAGCACTCTTCCACGTACTTACCGATAAAGAAGAGGATAATACAAAATGACACTATCTCCACGGGTTCAGCCTTGGGCAGCTTCTGGAGCTTAAGCAGGAACTTCTCACCAATGGTCTGTATTTCCTTCAGAAAGCCTTCAGAAGACATCCTGGCCAGCACTGTTCACGTTGTGTTACACTGGAGAAAAGCCAAAGAAAGAAAGAGAGAGTGCGCATGAAGCTTTTTACTGTCAATATTATTAACACTAGGGAAACAAACCGCCTTCTTTAGGGAGCTAATTTGGGATCACAAGTAAAACACGTTTATCCGGTCTCAGCCCTTGCTCCCAGTAGCTAAGGAGGAGGGATTTTAACTATCTGCATATCCTGACATTGCTTTTATTCAAATCTGGAGCTAGCTGACACTCTGGCTTTGTATCAGATCAGTTTGTGGGTATACTCTCCATCTGGGCTCTGCTTCACCGCTTTTAAAAAGCCACAGGATTTTGCACAGTTGGGCAAGGACAAAAATATGGTGTTCCCTCTCAGCCTGCTATGTATGGGATGACATTAAAGCTGGCTGATTTCCACAAAGGGAAAAATTAGTTGTTGCTTTTCAACTATCCAAGCTCATGTTCTCCCAGAAAATAAGCTTTCACTTGCTAACCTGAGAATGTGTGTCCCAAATCATGCCCACGATGCTGCATTCTGTATACAAAATTGTCTTCCCCTGTGTAACGCAACACACGCTCCCTTTTAAGGTTTCTTGGAGCTCCAGCAGCAGCAAGCCACCTTGCGAGTGCTTCCATTATCATAGCACCCTTGTGTAATACTCATGTCACATTTCTGGTTTCTAGGGCTGGTGGTGTATGGTGATATTGTGAATTTTGACTGATCCACATCTATTTAGGAGACATGAATGCTTTAAGTTTATACAGCTGACTGTGACTTTTGTACCCGGTAAGATAAATATAGATCTGTTTGACCACACATTTGTAGTAATGTAGTGACATCTAATCTGACTAGGGGATTTAGACTTCCACGCATTGTGTATATGGGGGGCGGGGGGAGGGAAGGGGAGGAAGGAAGAACAAATGCCACAGAGATCTGTTTGACTTTAGACCCTAGTGTAGATCACTCTTCCACTTATTCTCCTCCCTGCCTCTGCTCCCCATCCCCCACAAAAAAATGTGTCTGTCGTCTTCCATTCTACCAATTATATAAATTGCTCAGAACTAACCTTGGACTTGATCTTACTCCCACCGAAACCAGTGGTAAAACTCCCATTGGCTTCAGTGGGGCCAGGATTTTTCCCTAAAGATTAGCACATGGGAAGGACTGGGTTCTATTCCTAGCTCTGCCACCAATTCACTTTGTGACCTTGAACAAATCACCTAACTTCTCTGTGCCTCCACTTCCTTATCTATAAAGCGAGGGCAATGATACTTACTGACATCACAAAGGAGTTATAACGATTAATTCATTTAGTATGCTTGTTTTTCAAAGAAGCTGCAGAAGACCTACAGTAACAGGTGAAAGGTGGTACAGAAGATCAGAGTGAATGATGATTATTAAAACGGACATCTCTCTGTGGAAGATACAGTTCCACTACTCTGTTCTTGTTTACAAGGAAAAGTAGCTGATGTTATTCTCACTCCATTACTTTACAGCATTTCAGATGGTAAGAAGAAACCAGTTTGGCCGCTGGTGATCTCTGTGTGATACTGGAGATGCAGTCCCCCAGACGGCTTGAAGCCCCCACTTTAACTGGCAGTTTACTTTCCAAGGATAGAATGTTGTTGGGGGTTACAGAAGGCAACTGGAAATCGAGTTCCTGGATTCTATAGTAAGCACTGCCACCAATGGACTGTTTCACCTTGGGCAAATCAACCTCTCCATGTCACAGTTTCTCCAACTGGGTGTCTCTCTTTGCGGCTGACCTCCCTCAGTAGTATGTTCACTGGGAACAGGAACATGAGAGCAGGAGCCAGTACTCTTCTGGCAACAGCGGCAAGACTTGGAAGCTCATTACAGGAGAAAATGTCCACACATTTCCTGCCTTTGCAACACAGAGTAAACCTTATTATTATGACTTGGCATTCACACAGCTGTAACTAAAGGCCGCAAAGAAGAAATGAGAAAAGGTGGGGAACGGAGGGGGAGAAAGGAGGAAAAGAGAAACTTAAACAAAAATCAAAGCAAACACCACCCTGAACCGCTTCGTGACAGGCAGCTTGGAGCATTCCCTCTAGCCTGCCATGGCAGCCCGAAAGTTACGGTTCCAACCATCTTCTTTTCTGACCGTTCATTTCTGAGAAATTCCTCTTTAAAGCAACAAAACCCTACATTGTAGCCAATGGGATTAAATCTTCAGATCTCCTATTCACACTGCAGGGAAGTGAACTGAGTAAATCAAATCTTTAGATCCCCATATTGTTTTAGAAGGGAGGCAGAGCCTGCCATGAGCTCAAGGCATTAGTCTTGCTTGGAAAGAGAACAAGCACAGTAATAGTGCAGAAAGATGTCCATTTGGTTTGCAGTGCATGTAGCTCACCCGCACGGGTTAGGTTAGTTTAAACCAGCAAGGCACTGCCTGTGTTCCGGGCTCTTGCAGGTTGTTACTGATTAAGGTTAAGGTGATGCCTAGAAAGTACTATCTTATTTCTTTTTAATGCAGATTCATCCTGCAGGGCCAGTTGGGTAAAGTTGTGCAAATTGCCATAAATGCCCTGGAGGCCAAATCTTTCCAACTAGCTTTAATAGACTAAAGCCGTATGGTACCTAAATAAGTGGCCTGACTTTCAGCTGATGAGCATCTGCAGTTCTTGTTGATTTGATTGGTAATTCTGCCTGCTCAGCATTTCTGAGAATAAGAACATTTATTTAGGCACCTCAGGTTGAACATTTTGGCTAGAGCAGTGCTTCTCAAAATTGGGCCACCGCTTCTTCAGGGAAAGCCCCTGGCGGTCCGGGCCAGTTTGTTTACCTGCCATGTCCGCAGGTTCAGCTGATCGCGCCTCCCACTGGCCGCGGTTCACCGCTCCAGGCCAATGGGGGCTGCGGGAAGCGGCGTGGGCCGAGGGATGTGCTGGCCACCCTGGGCTAGAGCCTTTTGGGACTGAGAACCAGCTGAGTGTGTCACATCTTTGATGTCCATTGTAAGCTGGCTGGACCTTAACCAAGAGCGAAGGCTGCATAATATGGTCGACGATCCATAGGGCCCAGATTCTGGTATCTGGCTTAAGCTGGTCCAGTCTCCATGAATAATAAATCATTTGTGGAATGTATACAGTTTAAACACCCTTCCCTTTAACAAGTTACACCCTTCTGTGCTTTCATCCTCTGCGTGGAGAAGTAGGTGTGTTGGAGGGTAGGAGGGCAGGTGAGGCTAAACTTATTGTTGAGGACTAAGCTATGGGTTAGTCATAATGCTGGTGCCATTTCAGTAATGTATGTTTGCACAGAGGGGAAAAGAGCGAGAGAGATGATGATCTTGTGGTTAGGGCACAGGACTAGAAGTCAGGAAATGTGATTGACTTCAATGATTGACTTCAATGTCCTCTTGCAAGCAAGCCCTTCTAGGCTTTTGCTGTTGCTGCTTTCCAAAGTCTGAGATGAAGCTTTGGGGAGTCTGTTGTTGAAGGCTGTTGTTAGCACATGTAGTTCTAATGCAGCACTTCCTAGTCATGTTGATCTTTGATTCTGCCTGAAGACCGGCATCCTCTTCACCTCCCATCCCATAGTGGCAGCCATTTGAGACCTCACAACTCAACAAGAGGGGCACTTTCAGAAAGTGGGGACCACCTGATGATCCCAAGCAAGGAGTTTGTCTGTTGTCACACACTCATCTCTGACTCCATTGTAATGTTTTCTTTAAGATGTTTTCTCAGATTTCTTGTCTGCAGCTATTAACACAAACGTGTGCTATGATCTATTCCCATCAAGTCACACAAGATAAGCAGGGTGAGTTTGGCCCAATACTGGAATGGGAAACACCCCTGGAATGCTTAGGAGCTGTAGGAAGGTAGTGTTGGTTGCTTGGCAGGGAATCTTCCAAGTCCACCCCAGCATGGTGAAAAAGGGGTGCTGTACTGCTGAAGGTGCTGCCCTCCCAGTGAGGCTTAAAACAAAGGTTCTGACTAGTTGTGATCACTTTCTCAAGAGTAGGTATTCAGCTGTGGTGTCGTGGGTTAATTCTAAGTGTGGTAGCTCCTTTGTACTGTACTGAATTATTGTTCTGGTTTCAAATGGATAAGATCTTTTCCACTTCTGTCCCTAAACTATTGTCATGTTGCCGTGCATTGTTAAATAGTAAGTGCATTTTGGCAGTAGATGAAATAATCCCTGTATATGGTTTATATATTAGTTTAAATTTGCAAAATGCTTTGAGATTAAAGGGATTATAGAAATAGGGAAAATCCACCAGCGATATTACATTGTTACTGCAGTTTTTGCTGACATGGATGTAGTTGACCAACCACATGATCTTCACGACAGCCCACAAGCAAGTCTTGTGTCCATAACAGGAGAGGTCAGAACCAGTGAGGCCAATAGTTCATTCACTGGCAGGAGAAAATAGTTCCCAGCTCTAGAGAATTCAGCCTTTGCCAACATGCACACAAGCTGGTAAATTGTGGTTCAATTTCATGGGAGAAAAGCTTTGACCTTGTCAGCCAAGGTTGAAAAATCTGAAGCCCTATCCTTCAGATTATAAAATAGAATTGATTGGGTACCCAAATAGTCAAGATAGCCTGCAGTCTAGTTTGTCCACTTATTGGAGCTAGGTTTCCCAGCAGCAGTAAAGATGCCCCAGTCCTGCCCTAATCACCTCATATTTAACTAATGTGTGACAAGTTCATGGGAAGGCATTGAACCCCCTGAAATATCAATCAAGAGTCTGAAATTGATAATCGAGACCACTGAGTTGGGAACTTCTATAAAACTCTTAAGAATCCTCTACCCTTCTCTAGCACATCTCATTTGAGAATTGTAAATGAATGAAGCGCCTTGATAGGTCATTATTATTACTCCTGTTTTACAGATGGGAGAAACTGAGGCACAGGGATTGTGACTTGCCTACTGAAAGGACAAGCTGTATTAAAAATAAATCTGCAACTAACAAGTGGGGTCTCTGACGTTCTGTAGTTACTGTTGCTTGGGTCTCAGCTCTGTAGTAGACTGAGTAATTAGAACAGCTGTTTTCAAGGACAGCTGACAGAATGAGATGTACCATGTTTGAGTGTCTGTGTCCAGGTCTATGAAAGCCCAGTAAATAGCCACTTCAGGAAATACAGGTTTTCTGCCAATAGCCTTGTATTTCTCAGTGCCAGATGCCTCATCACAATATCGGGAACACATTCTCTAGCTGCTTTCCATTACACCTGGGTCCTTATTTGCACAGCGCTGTCCAGAACTCAGAAACTGAATGAATCCATCCTAGCTGTAGGGACCTGGAAAATCCAGGAAGTTGAAGCACCTAATTCTGATCCCTTGAAAGAAGCAATTTAAATGATGGGTGAAGTGTGAAGCTTATGAAATGGATGGTGTGGGAGGAATGACTGTACTAGTTTGTATCAAGTAAGGGCATGGGCAGGCACTGCACTTCCCTGGCAACTCTGCCAAGACACCTCAATTTTGACTACCAGCTCCCCTGGCTATTCCAGTCCTGGGACTGTCCTGAGCAGACTCTCAGTTGTGGTGCGTTTGTGTTGTGGACTAAAATCCATTGTTTTATCACTTTTTTTGTTTTTCTCCCACTTGCTTGGATTTAAGTCTCTGCTTCTAAGGTGAATGACTAGTGCACTAACCCACTGTATGTTTGGCCTCCAGCAAAGGCCTTTCTATAGATCTGTCATGTTTGATACAGGCTAAGAGGCCTCTGTGCTACGTGACAGCTGTAACGTAAACCATGTCTCTGCCTTTCTACTTCCAGACACATGTTTCGTATTGCTTATTTTTCCTCCTCCGCTGCTGGATAAGCCCCTAGTCATAACCCTTTAGGATTTTCACTGCAAGGAAAATTTGGCCTGTTTTTTTCTCTCTCCTATTTTTCTCCTTGTTTTTCTCTCTCCCACTTTTTTCCTTGTTTTTCTTTTCTTTTTCTTTCTTTTTTTTTGTTTGTTCTTTCTGTTTGGAAGCCATCTGAACTGTAATGTTTAAAAACAAATGTAAACCACAGACCTTTCAAGGAACCGCTAATGAGTCTCTGGAATTCAAACTAGTTAGGAGATGAGGAGGGCCCAGTAATTACAGTACTATTACACAAGCAGTTCTGCAGTTTTCTTTGCGTGACAGGCGAGTGGTACGATGCACCATCCTTTCCAAATAAGCAGGATCCAACGGGAAATGGAAGGAGAGGCTGAAAGTACTTGATCCTTCACATTCCTCTATCTGCGCTACATGTGGGGAGAACTGGCTTTCTGTCTCTCTCTCTCTCTCTCTGCTTGTTTGTAAACAGCTGAACTTTGAGCTTCCTCTGGAGAACACACCATTTGTCAGCTCAATGCAAAGGGTTACGAAATCTTCCAAACAGCATTGAGAAATAATTGGCTTCAGATGGAGAAAACAGAGGGGCTCATGGGGTTACATCTTTGGCAGTGAGAAATGGTGAGTGAAGGAAAGGGGTGGGAGAGAACTTTGGTAGCTAGAAGCAAGGCTGGCTCGAGGTTATTCTTGTGCACTTGGGGCTCTTTCTCCTCTATTTCATTTCCCTCCCGTGTTGATCAAAATGTGCTCAGATCCCACAGCCTCATGTTCAGTAGGACATGGGCTGAGAGACGTGGTGTTCTCTGCCAGAGCTGTGGGTTTCTGGTGCTGTTTTGGACAGCAGACCAGAATCTGCTCCTGTTACCATTGCTGATCTCCATTTGGAAGCTGGGTAAAAGCTTCCCCTTTATTTCCACTGGGCACAACGTTTATATTAATTTGCACAGTAAGCTGGTTTCTCTGAATGGTTTTGTTTTCTGGGCATTCTGCTTGCTTCAGGGTTTAGGGGATAAAACTCAGCACCAGCTGGGAGCTCTTTTAGGTAAAATTCCCTGGCTGGAGCTTGCTGTGGTTTGACATACGCTTGCCAAAGTCGGTAGTTCCCACTGAGCAAGGAGTCACCAAAGCTGCTGGCTAAACGAAGTACTCACACATGAAAACACCTCTGCAAAGAATGCCCTGTGGCAGATCCTGCTCATGGGTAGGGCCAAGTTCTGCACTGACATGCACCCCATGTATCTCCAGTGAAGAAGTGAGCACAAGATACAGCCCTTAAATGGTCACTAATCAGCTAAAAGTTACTCCCTTCTGCTTCAAACCTGATGCATGTGATAAGAATGAGCAGTAGCTGCTTTCGTTAAACTCTGTTGTTGTAGCACAGCTTTCCTGACTCTTCAAAGCTTTTGACTCTCACCACCTCCCCCTCCCTCCCCCCCAGTGTCCTTTGCAACCAAATTCCGGCTAGCAAACCCTGTTCAATGGCTGAGCACAATTTGCCATGCAAACCGCTACAAAAGCTTGAGCTACCGCTGACTAACTGAATCCTCCTGCTATTGAGATGCTGTGGTGGAAATGAACCCAGGCAACAACCCAGCCTTACCCCAACAGTGCCGCAGGACTGTCCTCCACCTCCGGTGGTTGTTTTTCTGTCTTCTTAAACTTCACGGCTGTCTCCCCCCATCCTGCCCCTCTCTGGCTTGGGGTTCTTTCCTCGCTTGGCTCCTCTCCACTCTGCTGCTGACAGCCAGCTGCTGTCTCTGCCTGACTCTTTTTTTTGTTGTTGGTCGTTCTGGAGATGTGAGGTTTCGGATTACATGTGTGCTGGGGAGGGAGGCGAGAAGTGAGCACAAGCAGAGCCTGGCAACTGGTACTAACGGTCTAGAGCGGAGCCCACGGTGCCAACACTTGTTGGAAACTTCCTATGCATCTTCCTGCCAGCTAGGTCTCTTCTTTGTTCCAATTAATGACGGCTTTTGCTGGAGTAGTCTGGGTTGGGGTCATATTGATTTCCTTTCAATAGTTCGGTTGCATGTTAAAGCAATTAACTTTCTTTATGCTGTCCAGTTTCCTGCTGGCTCCCAATGGGGAATGCACTGTTCTCTTGTGTTCTCTGAAGAAGTTGGGAATAAAGGGGATGAAATGACAATGCCATTTCCTTTAGAAAAGAAGAGGAAAGAAGGATGATCTTGTGGTTAGGATGGGGTACTCGGAGGCAGGAGCCTTGTGTTATTTTCTTGGCTCTGCTACGTATCTCCGTGTGACTTTGGCCAAGTCATTTAACTTCATAAACTTAATTTACCCTTCTGTATACTGGGGGCAATAATACCTACCTGCCTCAAAGGAGTGTTGAGGCTTACTTGCCACTGATACATTGTTTACTCTGCTTGTGTGTGGTCCCATAAGATGCTTTTCCGCCTCCCCCCCCCCCCCGCCCCCGCAATTGGCAACTAGCTGAACAATTGTTTTTTATTAACTAATTCCTGAGTTGTCTTGGTGGTTTGCTCCATTCAAGAGGACCTCCCCTCCCAAATGGTTGGGATCCCTATTCAGCAGACCTGGCGTCCCTCCCTAGTGTATCTCACTGGAGATGCAATATCTTTTCAGAGACACGTAGTAGCTATGCTAAGATAAATGCACCTTTCCCTGGTATTTTATCTTCCTTCTCTGGTTGGAGATAAGGGGCTGAAACATTCTTCACTGGACAAAAGCAGATGGCATAAAGAAAGGAGAGGCAGGGCACTGAACTCTGATGAACATCCTCGTTATCATCTTGTCTGCAGTGATAGGGTTTCACTAACATTTCGCATCATGTTACTGAAATGTATCAGTGTTTGCTTTTCTTTCTGTCCCTTAACACAAAATCAAGGGGGTTTCTCAGTGAAATGAAAGGTGACTACATTTAGAAAAAATTGTCAGTCAACCTGTGGAACTCGTTGCTGCAGGGAGAGAGACACATACTATGGCTGGATTTTTAAAGGGCTGGATAACTTCAGGACACTTGTGACAATGTAATCTGAGATAATGGGTATAACCAAGTCTCATGCTTCAAGGCATAAATGAACTGCTTGTGGGGCAGAGGAAGGCTATCTCACCATGTAGATCATTGCACAACTAGCTAGGTACAGTAGAACCTCGATTTTTTTTTTTTTTTTACAAACACCAATCTTATGAACAACCAGTTATACAAACCCTGCTTCGCAGCCATGGGAACAGATCACATAACACAAGTGATGTCTCTGAAGAACAAGTCGTCATTCCTTCACACACTGATTCCTTCAGTGCATTGGAAATGTTTGCAGTGGTTTGAAGAAGAAAGTGGTACAGTGCATCATACTGCAACTTATGCACTGTACCTGCTGCAATTGAGATGTTTAGTTTAATGAACTCTTCAATTTTGTGAACCACTCAATTACCAATGTGTTTGTAAAACAGCGGAGTTATTGTATTTTATTTGTTTTGCCTTCATCTGAAGCATTAAGGTTTGGGCTGTTAACAGGACACCAGTGGCTTCAGAGCTCCTCCGTTCTTTGCTGCAGCATTCCAGGGCAAAATCTTGTTTGTTGGTATTAGGGGGTTAAATGTACATGCAAACATCTTCCCCTCCCTCCTAACCCTGTCACTAAAGCTCTGAGGGGAAGGAGGGAGGCATAACCAGCCGCTATTATGTGCTTCACTCTTAACTCCAAGAGGAGTGGTGTGTGTCGGACTAATGAGAGAATAATGCCTTCACTTTTTTCTCTCTTTGAGAAACAAAGAACTGCCTCTCAGAAGTCCTTTGACATTTCTGTAATGATGCTGCAGTGGAAGGACCTGCAGCACCCTGCCATTCTTTTGGAAGGGTAGCGGGAGAGACTCAAATGTGTCTCCTTTTTTCCCCTGCTTGTGAAAGACCTCTTTCTCTGAATTCAGGACCAGAATGAGCAGTGCTGCTTTGCAGGGGATAAAAGCCATCTTTGTAGTAGCCCCTATTCAACTTTCAGTGACCTGGGCTCATAGTACAATTAATTCACTGTCTCGATCCCCTTACCTGGGTAGTAGTGTGTTCCTTCTGACTTCAGCACACACACTCGCACTGAGCTTGTTTGGAGCCTGTTGCTTTAGTTTCTTCACCAGCTCTCGGCTGTGTTTTCTGCTTGGTAAATCAACCCCCCTGGGCTGCAAGAGAGTTAATGAATAGGCAGTCATTATGGACTCTTAACAGAGTCTGCTTGAAATGCCTGGAGCCAACAGATACTCTGCTGTATTCTTTGCCATCTTCTGGCCAGGAATCCGGTCTTAACCCCCGGCCCCCGCCCCCTTTCCATGCACCTGTTTGTAGATGTCCCCATTCAGACCTGCCTTTAAAAGGTAGTTTCTAATGGAGGAAATACTACTTTTCCTCTTTTCCCTCTGTGACCATTTTGCTGCTGAAGCTGCCAAGCCAGCTGGAGTGCTTTTGGTAGAGAAGAGAAAATGGTCCCGCCCAACTCTTTAAGAATAGAATAGTCGTCTTTTACATTTGTGGTGTTTTAGTTGCAGAGCCTGTTAGAGGCCAAGCCCAAGTCGGCTGTGCTACACAGATGCCCTGTGAAGTAAGTTCACTGGAGTTGCATCTTTGTAACTGACAGCAGAACTTGGCCCAACGTTGTGAACTGTTTGGGGGAGTTACAACTTTAAGATGAGACTTGGCACCAAGGGCTAGATATTCAAAAGCAAGCCAGGCATCTGAAATACACTTTTCTCTCTGTTTCCCAAGTGCTGCGTAAATAAATTAATCATCATCATTATATTGTATGTGTCTAAAATGTGCTAGACACAATACATCAGATGCTATATACAAATCAATAATAAGCAGTTAGCCATTAATCCATTTCCATGGCCTGGCTCTAGTAGAGAGAAGTGGTGCATGTGTGAGAGGGGAGAAAAGAACTAAAGTACTTCAATTGTATGCTCACTGGGGCAGGGAGCATCCTTTTTGTTCTGTGTTTGTACAGCACCTAGCACAGTGGGGTCCTGGTCCGTGACTCAAGCTCGTAAGCAGGATGCTAGTACAAAAAACACGTAAGATTTTGAGTAAAATCCCTGCAGCTGTTGTTGATGTGTGGGAAAGTGAGGCACTTGAGAAAATGTTCCCTGTTCTAAAAAAATCCCTATCACACTTTTTTAGATTTAGCAAAAGCAGGTATATGAGGAAAGTAGCAAAAATGTAGTCCTCACTCAGGATTGGTGTCTGCTTGATTTAACAAAGTTATGGCTATTTGAAAATTGTGTCTTGAGAAAATGTCTGTCTGCACTTCGCTTAGTCACTGCTTCCCAGCTAGCTAAGGGCAGGTCTGCACTGCAGCTGGGAGCGTGCTTCCTAGCGCAGGGGTTCTCAAACTGGGGCTCACAAGGTTATTACATGAGGGGTCGCAAGCTGTCAGCCTCCACCCCAAACCCCGCTTTGCCTCCAGTATTTATAATGGTGTTAAATATACAAAAATGTTTTTAATTTATAAGGGGGGGGGTCGCACTCAGAGGCTTGCTATGTGAAAGGGGTCACCAGTACAAAAGTTTGAGAGCCACTGTCCTAGCAGAATAGACAGACACACGCTAGCTCTGTTCAAGCTAATGCACTGAAAATAGCTGCGTAGCCGGGGTAGCATGGGCAGCAACATAGGCTAGCCACTTGAGTACATATCTAGGGGATCCCGGCGGATTTGTACTTGGGTGTCTAGCCTCAGTCACTGCCCATGCTACCCCCAGCTACCCTACTAATTTTAGTGTGCTAGCTCAAAGCAGGCTGTCAGCTGTAGTGTAGATGTATCCTAAGTGAGCACTGTTTGCTTTTAAGGAACTTGAAACCCTGCTGTTGATACTTGAAAGCCCTGCAAATAGGTCTTGAGTAGCTTATGGGAGGGCATGCCAGCTCTGGAAGTCAGATAGATCTGGATTTCCTCCAGCTCTCTATGAACAACAAATAAATTAAATGCAGGATTACAAAAATTAAGGTTCCAACATCTATGTTGTACCCATGTTCTAATGTTCCATTCCTGTTTTTCTTATTAAAAATGTGTAGCTTAATATGTTACTCCTTTGTGATAAAATTAGGGCTGTCAAGCGATTACAAAAAAGTGATCGCGCGATTAATCACACTGTTAAACAATAGTAGAATACTATTTATTTAAATATTTTTGGATGTTTTCTACATTTTCAAATATATTGATTTCAATTATAACATAGAATACAAAGTGTGCAGTGCTCACTTTATATTTATTTTTTATTACACATATTTGCACTGTAAAAAATCAAAATAAGTAGTATTTTTCAATTCATCTCATACAAGTACTGTAGTGCAATCTCTTTATCATGAAAGTTGAACTTACAAATGTAGAATTATGTACAAAAAAACTGCATTAAAAAAATAAAACAATGTAGAACTTTAGAGCCTACAAGTCCACTCAGTCCAATCGCTCAGACAAACAAGTTTGTTTACATCTGCAAGAGATAATGCTGCCCATTTCTTGTTCACAATGTCACCTGAAAGCGACATCAGGCATTCTCATGCTGTTGTAGCTGATGTCGCAAGATATTTACATGCCAGATGCGTTAAAGATTCGTATGTCCCTTCATGCTTCAACCATGATTCCAGAGGACATGCGTCCATGCTGATGATGGGTTCTGCTCGATAACAATCCAAAGCAGTGCGGACCGACACAGGTTCATTTTCATCATCAGAGTCAGATGCCACCAGCACAAGGTTGATTTTCTTTTTTGGTTGTTCGAGTTCTGTAGTGTTGCTCTTTTACGACTTCTGAAAGCATATTCCATACCCCCTTGACTCTCAGATTTTGGAAGGCACTTCAGATTCTTAAACCTTGAGTCAAGTGCTGTAGCTATCTTTAGAAATCTCACATTGGTACCTTCTTTTTGTTTTGTCAAATCTGCAGCGAAAGTGTTCTTAAAATGAACAACATGTGCTGGGTCATCATCCAAGACTGCTAGAACATGAAATATATGGCAGAATACGGGTAAAATAGAGCCGGAGACATACCATGCTCCCCCAAGGAGTTCAGTCACAAATTTAATAAACACATTATTTTTTTAATGAGTATCATCAGCATAAAATCATGTCCCCTGGAATGGTGGCCGAAGCAGGAAGGGGCCTATGAATGTTCAGCATATCTGGCACGTAAATACCTTGCAATGCCAGCTACAAAAGTCCCATGCGAACGCCTGTTCTCACTTTCTGGTGACATTGTAAATAAGAAATGGGCAGCATTATTTCCCGTAAATGTAAACAAACTTGTTTGTCTTAATGATTGGACTGCATGGACTTGTAGGCTTTAAAGTTTTGCATTGTTTTGTTTTTGAGTGCAGATATGTAACAAATAATATACATTTGTAAATTGCCCCTTCATGGTAAAGAGATTACACTACAGTACTTGTATGCGGTGAATTGAAAAATACTGTTTCTTTTATTTATCATTTTTACAGTGCAAATATTTATCATCAAAATAATAATAAAAGGGGGGAAGTGTACACTTTGTATTCTGTGTTGTAATTGAAATCAATATATTTGAAAATGTAGAAAAGCATCCAAAAATATTTAATAATTTCAATTGGTATTCTATTGTTTAACAATGCAATTAAAACTGCGATTAATCATGATTCATTTTTTAATCATGATTTTTTTTTTTACTTAATTGCGTGAGTTAACTGCACTTAATCTATAGCCCTAATTTCAAATATTGTGGGTGTATATTCAGCACTCCTACTATCACTTGTCTATTCTAAAATGTATCATGATATATATTAATATGATCCTATGTACTATCTAGGAGCAATTTGAAGACAAACTGAAAGCATGGGCTTACAAGGGATATAGAGTTTCCCTTAAGAACATACTTCGCATTCTCATACACGTGTAGAGCTTGCTTGCTTTGTAGTAGGTAATTTTTTTTAAAGTGGGTATTTTTAAATCAATTCTGTTCTGTGTAGGAGTTACATCACTATTTGTTCAGGGCTTCAAGTCCTAGACACTCTACAGATATGTTAAAGACAAGACACTTGCTAAGAGCTTATAGTCTAAAAGACAAGGGGATACAATATACATGGAAAATGGAACTAGTTGATGTTGGATATGGATCTTGTTTCACTTTTTAATTTTTTCTTTAAATAATCCCCTTGTCCCCACCTTTCCCATCAGCCCTGGCCCACTTGTTCAGTTATTGCAATCCTAGGTTTCAAAAACGTCCTCGTTCCCCGTCATCTACCTGAAGAGAGGACTGCCTGGTTCCGCCCTCTCTAGCCAAATCAGATGATGCTTTCACCAGTTCAAGCACGGGGTGCTTTTGGATGTGGGGGTTTCTCTTGTCCCTGTAGTGACTGAGCATATATCGCAATACTGTAATATACACACATCTTGAGGAGCTAAACTGTCTGCCCTGGAAAATCTAGTCATGTGTGGCATGCCTGGTTGCTAGTTCAGTATAACTGGTTGGGCAATATCGCCTGAGCAGATGGCCTGGCTTTCATTGCTCACTAACATGCCTGTTGAATCCTCGTGGAGATTTGGCCATCTCTTTTGTCCCCCGGAAGGGGTATGTCTAGCTGGGACTGTGCATCCCAGCCCAGGTAGACAGACTTGCGCTAGCTGGGCTCAAGCTAGTATGCTAAAACTAGCAGTGTGGACATTGTGGCAACTCAGGCTTGACCCCCGGGGTCTGAACTCAGGTAGCTAGCCCTAGTCTTCGCCAGAGCGGCAACGTCCAGACTGCTATTTTTAGCACACTAGCTCAAGCCCCGCTAATGCAAGTGTCTGCCTGTGCTGAGAGGCTCCAACTGGGTAAAAGAACTACCCTATCATCCTTTGAATTACCACCGTGATTTCCGTAACGTAAAATAAATGAGACGCTCACCATTGTGTGATCAATGGACCTATCCAAAATCAGTGCAGCAAAACTGATCTAAATACATGTTTATCTCAGAACCCCAAACTGATCAAATGGAACATGTTTATCCGAGAGACCAGAACTAGTGCAAGTTAAGGGGCCGCTCTGTGAGACTGACTCAAGGCTGCATCTTGTGGCTCTGCTCTGACAAAAGTCAATAGTAAAACTTGTGGGTTTTCAATCAGACTTACCTTAAGCTGGGTAGTAAGGTGTTGGCTAGTCCACAGCCATGTCGTCTCTGGCTCTTCCATTGTTTCAGCAGCCTTTGCCATCGCCCTGACCGAAACTGAGAACAAAGTAGTATTTGGAGTATGAATAAACTAATAGGCCTATTTCTCCCTTCCACTTAGCGCTCCATACACATAGTGTAAGGGCAGCTGAATTTCTGCTTGTGCATCATATTGGGGTGTGTGGTAACAGTGTGTGTAACCTGGGGGTTTGGGCTGGCTGTCTGTTTGCAGTGGAACTGCCCTTAAAAAGTGAGTATTCAAAAGCGCCCGGTGTTGGCCTGACTGTGCTCTTATGGAGGTCAGTGTAAAACTCCCCTTGACTTCAGTGGGGGAGTTAGGCCAACACTGAGAGCTTCTGAAAATCCCTCCTGAAAAGTCCAAAACAGATGAGTTTGGGACAGCCCCATGTTGCCCTTGCTATGGTGATTTCCTTCACCCCACCCCACGCTGCAGGTGTTGCAGATTTGATCTGCAGTATTACGTATCTTTCCAGAATGTTCTCACCCCTTCCATGCCTCCCGTACTTTACCTCCCCCCCCCTTGCAGTAATTGTTCTCCCATCAGCATGTCGCTGTTCCCTTCTTTCTCTTGTCTCCTAGATGTCGCCATGCTGCCATAGCAAAGTACTTTGGAGATGTCACTCCCCCTTGTAACAAGTGCTGTGATTACTGCAAGAACCCAGGAGCAGTGAAAAAGCAGCTGGATTCCCTGGAGCTGAGCACCAACAACTGGAGCAGAACCTGCATTGGACCCACAGGTTCCTCTCGGGATGCCTATGACCCAGAGCTATACGAAGGAGGGAGGAGAGGCTCTGGAGGCTTTAGCAGGTTCGGATTTGATTGCTGAGCCTCCCAGAGATTGCGGCCCATTCTGTTGGGGAGGGTGGAGCTCCTCCTCTTTGGACCCCCCCTGCTGCCAGCCCAGCTGCTCCTAATTTCAGCAGATATTTCTGTGTGGTGTTTTCTGGTCACTTATGGCCTCAAGACCAGGGATTTTTTTCCATACACTGTGGCTGGTTCAATCAGATTCATATCCCTGGGAGCCAGCAGCTGCCCTCAGATGATCTAGAACAAATGATTGTCCCACAGAATGTAACTGATTCAAGGAACTGGCCTAAATTTTGCATCTGGGTTAGGAGACAGAGGAACTAGACTTTAGAGAGACTAATCAAGTGGCTAGCTCCAGACTTCTCCTGGATTCTAGTCCTAGCACTGACTCACTAACCTAGGGCAAGTTGCTTAACCTCTGCATCTCCGTTTTCCCCTTACCTGTAAAACAGAGATGGGTGTTGGGAAGTGTGATTAAATCTATATAGTGCTTAGCACACTTGGATGATGATGCTCGAGACATGTGGCGAGGTGGTGGTGATGGTATTATTATTAATTTTTCCCCAGTGTGTAACTCCTGTTTTGCAAGGGGATTTTGTGTTTGAAAGCAAAAGGCTGTTAGCATTGCTGGGTTACAGCCATCATGCGGTCAGACATAGTGCAAGCGTCTCTGCACACTTCTACCTATGCAGCTCTGTCATGATCTGCAGCACTGACTGTCGTTCCAGCCCTCTGCTTCCACAGGTTGACCCAGATTGGTAGCTTTAGTCATCAGATGGCCCCGGCAGTAGGATGAGGCCAAATGATCAGTGACCCTGAGCTATACAGTAACTCCTCGCTTAATGTTGTAGTTTGTTCCTGAAAAATGCGACTTTAAGCGAAACGATGTTAAGCTAATCCAATTTCCCCATAAGAATTTAATGTAAATGGGAGGGAAGGGGGGTTTAGGTTCCAGGGAAAAAAATTTGCCATACAAAAGACTATTTTTTGTGTGTGTGTGTGTGTGTGTGTGTGTGTGTGTGTGTGTGTGTATATATATATATATATATATATACACACACACACTAC